CTGTAGTGGGCTAAGTCCGAATGGATCTTAGGCTGAGGATAAGGCGAAGACATGGTCGGGTCGGCAACAGTCTGGCAGCGAAGTCGGGATCCAGGAGAGTAGTCAGGAGGCAGGATGAGGTCTTGACACGATCGGGCAGCAAGGTACAAAATCGGCAGGCAGAAGAATGGTCAGGAAACAGGCAAGAGTCACGGTGTAAATCCAGCATACAACACAGAGGCAGCTCACACAGGAACTAACCCAAATCAACAGGCTCTGAGCACAGGAAGTGTCCGGCATTTAAAGCCTGAGATAATTGCAGATCTTCTACAGCTAGATGGCAGGTGGAGCCAAAGTGTCCATAAGGAGAGTTGCTCAGTACACAGAACCTGAAGCAGAAACCAAGTCCTTCCAGTGGCTGAATGGCTAGGTCTGTGCACTTCCGTGCCAGAGACCCAGGTTCAAACCCCGAACAGGGGCTGTTCAGACAGGAACGTGACAGTCACCGAGACAGGAAGTGAAGGGACATTTTTGCTGTGGACAACATGCGTGTCAAGTGCCACTGATGGTTTCACCTTTTTGTATATGCTGGTTGCCTGCAACTAATACCGACTTTAGTTCTCTTGCATCACAAGTATAGAGATCAGGAATTCCGGCTTTACCCTAACTTGCCTTCAGAATGATTAAAGCCAAGCACAGCCAAGCAACTAGCCCTTTTAGAAGGAGCATCCTCTATATTACTAACCTGACAGGTTCACATTTCAAGTCTTTTTGACTTCTCGCTCTTTTTGTCTCCTCAGATGCAGATCACTCTGGAGTCCGTTGGGTTTGTGTAAGCCGCTCCAGAGAGGCTGTCCACTAGCCCCATCCATAAGTTTCAAGCTGCCCTGGAGCTTGTCCATTTCTTCTGCTAGTCCCAGTATTTGGAGGCTCACCTGTGTTGGATCCATGAGGCACATCCAGATGGACACACCACCCAAGGAGGAGGCAGGAGGACAGAACGGGCAGCCTGCCCCTGTGGACGCGTCGTTTGCAGGCCAGGCTGGAGTTCTGAATGCTGCTCAGGACTGTAGGGTTCTTGTTGAATACCCAGAAACGGAGCACAAACTCCAGAAAGTCTATCATGTATCTATAACATCTGACATGCCGGGGCCTAAAGCCATTTGCCGTCAAGCTTTGAAGAGAGGTCCTCCGGACCAGCTTCCGGAGCCTGCAAGGAGCCCAAGGAGAACCATGTGGGGGCAGTCCAGAAGTGACTGTCCACCTGGACACGGTCAGTCGGATGGGGACTATCCAAGCAGCTCACTTGTTGACGATGAAGAGGGTGAGGACATATTTGAGGATGGCTTGCTTTCAGAAGAGATGCCAATGTGCAGTTCCGCTCAGCATTTCTCCCATAGTGGACTGCGAGTCATTGAACACAAAGCAGAGCTTTTTCCTTCCAAGGATTCTCCTAATAGGAAAGTGGCCTCTCCACTCTTCCATAAGGTCGATTGTAGAAGGACTGAATCCCTCTCTTCTCCGCCCTGCACCACTTTGCACAGAAGCAGTCTGAAAGAGAGACAGCTGGGGAACTCTGACGGACTGTCAACTGCCTTTGAATCCAACGGGAGTAGTCCCTCGACTGACCCAAGGACTGCAGAGGCATCTACCAGCAACCAGCACATACTTGACCTTGATTTGCACAACATTGCACATACAGAGAAAATGGTGGATAAGTTAGAGGAGGACAGCCCTGGTGGCAGTCGTAGCTGTGCCAATGGTAACTTAGTTGCTGGAGAAGCATCTAAGGAGTCTTCTACAGTGAGTGTAGAAGATGGAAAGATGCCCTCTGACGGTGAAGACCTGAGCTGCTTAGAGAGGACTCCTCCTGGGGCCTTCCGCCTGGGCAGCCATGGAGGCAGCAGCATTGCAGTGAAGAGAAAACTACTTCCGTCCACCGAGACTGGCGACTCCTGTTCTGATGATGAAGGACCTGGGAAGAGATGGAAGGGAGCTGAGACCTGCCAGGCCCTTCATGGATCTTGCCGAAGCACCGACTCCAAGGGAGCTCCTTTCTGGAACCATCTTTTGCCATCATCGCGCAATGCTCAGAAGGTAAGACTTTCTTCCCTTCCTGTCATGACTTTGTTATTGATACTATTTGTCTTTTCTGTTCTGAAAACCTCAGAAGTTACACCGGATCCTTCAACATTGATTAGTTTGGGTGACTCGCCCCACCACACTCAACATATACCTGAACCATGGCTTTAGGTTGGCCCACCTTTTTAATCCAGCTCTGGATTAGCCCATGATGGAAGTTCTTTACCCTTACCTTAGAAAATGTTTGTGGGTGGCATACCCCAAGCAGAAATTAAGAGAACTATGGGGTAACCTTGTTATCCCATAGTTCTCGTCAGGGTTACAGGAGGACATACTAACGTCATCCTGTGACCCAAAGCTCAGTAGCCCGCTATATACTGAGAGCGCCGCAGCCAGGACACATCCTGACAATACTGTAGAGCAGGGGTGCCCATTAGGTAGATTGTGATCTAGCAGTAGCTCTCGAAGCTGATGCCGGTAGATCAGGAAGGGGGGGAATGGCGGCCCCTTTATTTAGCTGTGCACACATGATTACCTATTAGCCCGAGTCTGCTGAGCCGAGCTCCCTGACACCTTTCTGGTGGATACTGGTGGTTGAAGTGCTATCTATTACATCAAAGAGTATTAGTTTACGCAGACTGTTGCCCTGCACTGTTTGCAAAATACAGCAAGGTGAGCAAGGAGAGAGAGCCAGGAAACCGAGAGAAGAGAGACAGCCAGGAGAGAGAAAACGAGGAATGACAGCCAGGGGAGACAGCCAGGAGAGAGAGAGCGGGGGAGGTTTTTTTTTTTCTGTTGGTAGATCTCATGTAGCTCATCATTTGAAAAGTAGATCTCAACACAAAAAATGGTGATCACCCCTGCTGTAGAGATTCACCCAGCTGGCTCTGCCTGTCTAGAGGCAGAGCCAGCTGTGCCCGTCGCCTCCACTGTCCATTCCTTCAGTCAGCGCTGGAGGATCAGGGAGAGAGGGGGGGAATCCCTGTGGAGAGTGGTGACTTGACAGTCACCGCTCTCTGCAGGGAGATGATCAAGCGAAGGTATGTGTTCGCTCACTTCCCGATCAATAGAGCCGACCTGTGACAGTTTCATTGTCACACGTTGGAGCTAACTATGAGGATGAGTGTAAATCACTAACCTCAAAGTTCTCCTTTTGACTCTCCTATGTGATGTTGGGGTCTGCCAGCTTGGAATACTCCATGGATATTCCATGGGATGAGCCACGCTGTTTTTTGTAGAGATGATCTCTGCCTTTTATGCAAATAGAGGGAGGTGTGAAAAGTCTAGGACCTCAGCCAGCATTTAGCCCAGGGGTCCGCCTATGTCAACCAGTGTTCCTCCTGAGGTTCCTAAGGGTTCCTTGATCAGTGAGCAATGGTTGATAGATCTCTTTCCTTTTTCCTCATGCAAACTTATGGTAAACTGTTGGTATTATTTTTAGCAAGGGGTTCCCTAAAACCCGCAAACTTTTCTGAAGGGTTCCTCCAGGGTGAAGTAGTTTGAAGGAGGCTGGAAGAGGTCATACAAGTCGTAGGTCCTCTATAGCAGCCAGACACCCTATTGAGAAGGTCTGAAGACTCAAAAATGTGGACGTGGTATACATGCATGCACCATTTTTTTATTTGCCCTTTCAGAATGTTTGCCTTTAAAAAGACACTTTTGGTTCTGCTTTTAAGTCTGGCCTAACATGGGCCGCCTTGGTTGGACAGACGGCAAATGTTTGAATTGGACCAAAGTGGGGGCAGGGTGTCCTCCACATGAAACCTAAAATGTGATCTGATCCGGAGCACTTCAGTGGTGATGACATTTTCGGCTCTCGGGAGCCGTCGTGTTTCATCACATATGTCATTTTATTTCCGTATGTCACTTGAGAAATCCAATTGCCAAACTTTTTTCGAGGTTCCGTGTACGCTGACATAGACCCACCTCCGTCTATGGATATTCAGCCTCAGCCCAGGACGTTCCTAATTCAAGTAGACGTCCAGCCTAAGCTTTGGGGTTCTAAACGGGTTCCTGTCCAGGAGATTTCCCCTTCCTGTCCTTGTCGCACAACAGGAAGGGAGGGGCATTCTCCCTAACAGGGACACTGACAGTAGAGCTGGATGAGGTTCTAAGCTTTTCACGCTTTAAAGGAGAAGTATGAGGCGAGTGCTTTTCACTCACCTCCTAGTTCTAGCCGACCTGTGACAATGAGACTGTCACAGGTCGGCTCAGTAGATCGGGAGGTGAGCGAACACATACCGGCGTTCGCTCACCTCTCGATCCTGTCACGGCTGTCAGTCACGCAGCTGGGCGGATCCCGGCACAATTGTCGGGATCCGCTTCAGCTGCGGCGTCTCAGTATACCGCGAGCAGCAGTGCACAGTATACTGAGCCTAGGGTGACGGGAGGACGCTAGTTTGTGTCCTCCCGTTAACCTAAGGAGAACTATGGGGAAAAGCCCTGACCCCATAGTTCTCCTTTAAGATGTGGAGCTCCAGGTACTGCTTTTGTCCCCCTTCTTCTTCTTCTTCTTTTTTTTTTGGATTGTGGTCGGAATTTGAATGCAGTCTGAGCCTCTGTTGGTAAGCTCATGTTTCCTACTTTGTGTCATCGGGACAGGAAGACAGGGCAAATCTCTCCAACAAGGGGGGGATATAGGCTGATCATATGGATATAGGTGCTATGTACAATATGTTGTCGTGGAATGAACTACGTGTGGCCCTCAGTAGACATAATGAGGTCCCTTGAAGTCTTCTCTCAATTCAGCTGACTGGTTTGATTTGAGTGTGACATGTCCTGGTTAGAATCTCGAGCAGTCTATTGTCATCTGTCATCCTCTCTATTACATCATAACGAGTACACACAGTGATATTATCCCAACAGCGGTTCTGACCCTTTCCCATGCCAAACAGAATTAAAGTAAGCGCTTTAAAGCTGAACTCCAATGGCTAAATGCACCAATGAAATACAGACAAGGGAGCGGTTTTACCGGCCGAAGGATTTGTAATTCTGTTTATCCAGTCCTGAGATGTAAAGAGCTCTGCTACAAGAACAACCCAGGCTGGTAGGTTAGGAGACCGAACTTTCTCTGCTTCCCCTTCATCAATGTGACGTTCGGGGCCATCTTTGCCAGTGCTGACCTCTTTGCCCGGTTCCAGGTTGGGAATCTCCGGCCGGCCCAGAATGATGTAACTCTCGTGCATGTGCATAAGAGTTAATTCATCCCAGAACTGAGGCCTGCCTACAATGTACACTGAGTTGCCCATACACGGCTAAGTGCACATTCTAAAGAGGTTTACGGACAGGAAGGTAAAAGAAACAAACAGAAGTGAGGGCGCAACGCTAAGGAGGGTTATCTAACTGGGCTGAACGTTGCAAGGGGAACAGCAGAATGAAATGGTGTACTTACTAGAGTGGGTCCGAGGATCGGTTGAGGACCGGTCTGTGGGAGGATCGTGAAGTCCAAGGTATGTGTTCTCAATGGAGGCTGGTGTGCTGCCTGAGGCTGCTCATCTCGAGAAGGTGAGAGACGGAGAGGGGTGGATGGGGGGCGGGTAGCGGCACAAAGATTTTGTCCGTATCCCCGCTGCTGTGATGTGAAGTTCCGGCGGTGTACACGAGTAGTATCTAGTAAGTACACTATTTCATTCTGCTGTTCCCCTTGCAACGTTCAGCCCAGTTAGATAACCCTCCTTAGCTTAGCGTTGCACCCTCACTTCTGTTTCTTTTGGTCTTCACAAGCACAGGCACTCCTGTCTTCTAGGGGTGCAGGCCAGGTAGGGACACATACTCCCCAGGTCCTATCCAAGAGCGCTGTCCGTACCGTCCTTGTGTGCTTTTTGTCGGACAGGAAGGTAAGCAGCTCTTATTGCAGAAGAGACATTGGGGCTGATTTATTGCTCTTCCGTCCAGCCTTTAGCTGGGAGAATGCCGTCAGTACGGTGCTGCCACCACTAGATGGCGCTGAGAAGCACGAGAAATTCCTATGCTCATCCGCTCCATCTAGTGGCAGTGGCGCTGTACTGACACCATTCTCCCAGCTATATGCTGGATGGGGAGAGCAATAAATCAGCCCCATAGTTTCTGTCTATTCCAGAATTAAAAATCTTCCCGTTTCCATTTTTTTAAATTTTTTTTATTAAGTTCTTTCTTAATGCAATCTCAGTTTATTTATTTATTTTTTGATTTGTACAAAAATAAAGACATAAAAAAACATAACAAAAGAGCAAGAGGAGAGTGCACCAATGGGGACTCGGCACACCATGGCATCAATATGGATAATGCAAAGTTCTGTTTTAAGTAACACAAGTCGTGTGCCTCCCAGTCTGATGGCCATTGTCATTCAACCCACGTCCTCTGAGCCCAAGTCATCCCGGACGAGCCCCCAGCCTGTGACTGGACAGTGAAGGAGAAACAGCAGATGAGCTCATCTCTTGATCACTCTGCTCTCTCTCCTCTTTTATCAGCATGCTCCTTGTTAGCACATGAGCACTACAGAACATCTAATTGGCTCCTTTTACTGCTTCTCCCTCCCCCCATTCTGAGCTCTGCTGTACAGAGACTACAAGAGGCTGATACCGGGTTACATTTGGGTACTGACGCATGTTATGTTCCATTGATTTGTGTCCTTTACCTCTGCCCGGCCTTCAGCTTTAGGCGACTCATCCAGCTGGCTTTATATGAATGTTTTTCCTGCCTGACCTTCAGGTTATGGAATATTTTGCAGCGTGTATTTACATTCACTCCATAGCGGAGCCTTCCTAATCTTTTCTCATCAATTTTCCATGAAGGTGGAGGGGGTTGGAGGGGGGGGCAGCAATGTCCTTCAGGGGGGTTAGTGACGAGAAGTCTGCTTTGCACAGTTTAGGACTCTCTGCACCATGAAACCTGCACTTCTGGCAGCCCGGGAAGGTGTGAACATTATTGCTTGAAGCTGAAGTTTCATCTGCTAATGGTTTGCTTCCCCCCCCCCATCAACATGCTACTGTTTGGATAGAGTTGGGAAAGGTTGGACCCTCTGCCAAGCTTTTATT